ACATTAATTGGAAAAGGTGTATGCACCCCTGTGTTCTTTGCTGCATTATTTACCATAGTGAAGATATGTAAACCTAAGTGTCCATCAATAGATGAATGGATAAATAAGATGTCGTGCATACATACAATGGAATACTACCCAGGCATAAAAAAGGAAAGCTTGCCACTTGCAACAAAATGGATGGTAATATGCTAAATGAAATAAGTCAGACAGAGAAAGATAAATACAATATGATTTCACTTACATGTGGAATCTAAAAAAAAACAACAAAAAACTCATAGATACAGAGAATAGATTGGTGGTTGTCAGAGAGGAATGGGTTGGAGTGGGTGAAATAGGTAAAGGGGGTCAATTGTAGGGTGACAGAGAGTAACTAGACTTACTGTGGTGATCATTTTATAGTGTATACAAATATTGAATTATGTTATTCACCTGAAACTAATACAACATTATATATCAATTTTATCTCAAATCCCTCCAAAACAAAAAAGAGCCAAACACACACTTGGGTGGTCATATGATGTATGCTGTAACATACTGTTACTGCAGTGAGAGTCAAAGAGGCACACTCAACTTACAGATGGAGCGGGGCAGAGATCATTGACATAGTGTACTGTATGCAGCTTGCAGCGAATCTTGCCTTTTCACCCCTTAGAACTCTGCATCATGGATATATGGCGAAGCACCTGCCTGCTGTGTGCGCAATGGGCCTGGCTTGGACTCGACAGGGCTGAGGGCTGACAAATAGCTGCTTCACTGAATGAAGCAATGAAAGGGAAAATAAGTACACGATTTACCTATATTTCTCATTATTCTGGAATTTTAAAAAAATCTAGAATCTCCAACAAGGTCTGAATTGTTCTTTGCTTTGAAATACAAATGCAATTATAAGGGATGGTTTATAATATAACAAACAACTAACCTGCCCCACCCTCCTGATGAACTCAGAGAGCCTTCTACAGCGGTGCACGGTGCAACCAGCTGAGCCTGGAGAGAAGAAACTATTTGTCTTGAAAACATCATATACTCTGATTAGTTTGGTCTCCCTTCCATTTCCTGCTGAGTATGCATCTTCTTGGCCTCAGCCGTCACAGCCAATGGCTACAGAAGGACAAAGGGTAACCGCAGCTTCAAAAGCATTTTCATTGCAGTGGTGAGCAGAATCGAGATTTAAGTAGTTTACAATCAGTGTGCACTACTCAAACAATCTGCACACCAAAGTGCCCCAAATAACCTAGGTCCAAATTCCACTTTTACCACTGATATAAGAAATTTGAATAGTTTAAAGTATTTAAAAAATGCATTTTCACTCTCAACTTTAATTTCCTCATCTGTAAAATGTGTTGCATACTATCAACTTCATAGTCTACAATGAAGAAAATAAAGTGAAATAACGGGTAAAGTACTTTCTATAGTATTTGGCAAGTGAAGAGATTTCTTTCACCCAATGGCAACTATTATTTCACATGTGATTAAAAAAATCATACACAACCTAGTTAATATCAGGTTCACTGCTGAGTATCAAGAACTGTAAAGTACCTGTTATGTATGGCTCTGTAACAGATGATCTTTCAGAGTTCACACATCTGTGTTAGGCAAATACTAACAAATACCTGTATCTACATCTACACTACTGCTTATAAAATACTTAGTAACCAAAGAATTTTCAGACCTGTTAAAGAAAGCGGTTCTTTGAAGTTCTTACAGGCCCAGGAGGTGGAGAGGTCTTCCAGCCATGCTTCTATTTTTTTTTTTTATCCTCACCCGAGGATATTTTTCCATTTTTTGTACAGATAGAGAGGGAGGGAGAGAGAGGAAGGGAGAGAGAGAGAGAAACATCGACGTGAAGGGACACATCAAGTGGCTGCCACCCGCACGACCAACCAGGGCCGGGGACAAACTGCAACCGAAGTACGTGCCCTTAGCGGGAACCGAACCTGGGTCTCTCCGGACCGCAGGCCGACGCTCTAACTGCTGAGCCAAACCGGCCAGGGCCATGCTTCTGTTTTTTAAAGAGCTAGGCTGATAGCAGCTAGACTTCAAAAGTACAGCAGCCCCCTTATCCACAGTTTCACTTTCCATGGTTTCAGTTATCCACTGTTAATCCTAGGCCCAAAAATATTAGGTGGAATACTTCAGATATAAAAAAACTCATAGGTTTTAACTTGCATGCTGTTCTGAGTAGCCTGGTGAAATCTCATACCATCCTACTCTGTGCCACCTGGACATGAATCATCCTTTTGTCCAGTGTATCCACGATGTATGTGCCCCTGCCTGTTACTCACTTAATACCCATCTCAGTTATTAGATCGATTGTCATGGTATCGCAGTGCTTGTGTGCAAGTAACCCTTACTTTACTTAATAATGGCCCCAAAATACAAGAGTAGTGATGCTGGCAATTTAGATAATGCCAAAGAGAAGCCACAGAGTGCTTCCTTTAAGGGAAAGGGTATGTATGTATGGGAAAAACACAGTATATATATATAGAAAGACCTAAACCTTGCAACCAGACTAAAGTAAATGTAGAACGCCAGCTACTTCTTTACTTTTTAAGTATTTTATTGATTTTAGAGAGAAAGGGAGAGGGAGAAACATCTTTGTGAGAAACATCAATCAGTTGCCTCCCATACTCCCTATCGGGGATCAAACCCACAACCTGGGTGTGTGCCCTGAACAGGAATTGAACCTGCTACCTTTCAGGTACAGGGCAATAGTCCAGTGAACTGAGCCACACCGACCAGGCCCAGCTACTTCTCACTCCCTATCCACCTCTGGGAGTTCCATGATTTCTCTCTCAGCAAGGAAAAGGCAAGGGATGGTTTCTATCTCATTTCAGTCTTCTGCCCCTCAACTCTCAGCATCTTTCCTCAGACTCTTCAGTCGCCTAGTACTGAAGCAGCACGAAAAGCTGTGAAACTCAGTTACATTATTCCCACCACGGATAGCACGTACAGTACTTCTTAAGGAGACCACAGAACTATATTTAAAATTGCCGAATTAGAGAACCAGGCTCTCATCCTCATCTCCGTATTGCAAAGAATGACAAAGTTTCAGGAAGCAACACTGCAGACAGGGAAGAAACAAACAAACAAAAAAGCACTTCATTGTCTCACTGAGACTAGTCTTCTTACTTTCTCAGGAAGGCAAGGCAAAGAAAAAAAATGTAAGGAAAAGAAACTAATAGCCTCTCAAAGCATGAGCAACTATGACTGGAGCAAAATGAGTGTTCTTCCTAACTCCCATTGAGAATGTCTCCTATTAAACAACTTTCTCATCTGTATGTACCCAAACATATTTCACCAATATATTTTTATATAATTCACATCAAAACTGGAATTTTTCCCCCCTAGAATGAGAATATTTGTTGAAAAGGTTTCCAAAACCACCCAAATTGTTAACATTTGTCCAAAAGACAATCAGAACCAAGGCTGGTAGAATGAACTCTGAAGAGCACAGAGAATCTCTATCTACATCGTCATCCCAACTTAATTTTCCAAATTAGTCATTTCAGAAATAACATAAACTAAATATTTTAATAATATAATATTCTCATTATACTAGGAGTACGATTCAATTTGGAAGACTAACATTTTAATGAACAAATGTTGTTCTCCCAGTACAACAAACAAAAGGGTGAACGTGAACTGCTTGGGTCTAAATAATGGTTTAAATCTGGGACTGGTACAGGGGAGATATTGAATTATGAATTAGTTTTATAAATAAAATTAAGACTCTTATCTTAAAATATATTACTTCAGTAATGATAAAGAAACAAAGTTTTAAAGTTAGCCTCCTCCTATCTAGAGACATGGATGTAGGGAACAGACTAACCTCAGAGGGAAGGGGGTGAGGTGGGGGGAGAGAAACCCAAAGAATGTACATGCATTTAGGCATAACTAATGGACACAGACAACAATGTGGTAAAGCCCCCCTTGTGGCTGGGAGGAGGATATCATTGGGGGGGGGGGACATCTGTAATACTTTCAACAATAAATACCTAAAAAAATAAAAAATAAAAATAAAAAATAGCCCTGGCTGGTTTTCTCAGTGGTTAGTGTTGGCCTGCACACTGAAGGGTCTCAGGTTCGATTCCCGGTCAAAGGCACATACCTGGGTTGCAGGTTCCAAACCCAGCCCCAGGCAGGGTTGTGGGTTGCAATCAATCAATGTTTCTCTCTCTCTCTCAGCTTATACCCCTTCCACTCTCTCTAAAAATCAATGGGAAAATATCCTAAGGTGAGGATTAACTAAATAAATAAACAAAATAAAAGTTAACCTCCTCCTAAATTGCCAGGCATGAAACTCAAACTACAAATCTTTTAACTGGACAAATATCTTTTTCTTGCTGAGACATTGTCTCAAAAATACTATTACAGCTCTGGTCAGTGTGGCTCTGTGGGTGGAACACCCACCCCCACCTCCATGCACCAAAGTATTGCAGGTTAGATTCCCAGTCAAGGGCATGTATCTACCTGGGCTGCAGGTTCAATTCCCAGCCCCAGCTGGGGGGCATGCAGGAGGCGACTAATCAATGTCTCTCTCACATCGATGCTTCCCTCCCCTCTCCCCCCTTTCCATTCTCTAAAAATCAATGGAAAAAATACCCTCTGGTGAGGATTAACAACAACACACACACCAATTAAAGAATAGCTTTATGTGGAGGTGCTAAAAAGTGAATTGAGCTGCTTAAAGTGCTCAAGAGAAAGAATGACTAGGAGAGAATTAAGTGATCTGTAAAGTTCAGAAGAGTTAGATAAAGGCAACTTATATGGCAATGCAAATATTTATTTTCAGCTTACATTTGGCACAGGACAGTCCAAATCCCAAAGATAATTAAGAAAGCACATGAAATGCCATTTTAGAAAAATATAATCCCAAAATTTATACTTATATACTCTGGTTTGATTGTTTGAACTTCCAAAATTTTAAGGGCCTACATCAGTTTTACAGTTTACAAAAGGAAAGCACTCAAGATACCATGAAAGTTGAGTAGTCCTGGAAAAAAAACAAAAAGCTCTTTTTTCTTTACAAGTTGAGTTTTGCTTTCAGTGTTAAAATTAAAATCAAGATTATATACAAAAACAGTATCAAGTGAATGATTATGTGTTGGAGAGCAGAAACTTCAAAATGATGACATAAAAACCAGTAAGTACAATACACTGCACGCATCAAGTTGCAGATTCGACAGAAAAATGACTGATGTCCACAGGCTTTTTACTAGTCGACTAGTGTCAGGTCGACAGTGATTAAATTTTCGCTTAGCAGAGTAATTTGATCACCTATTGTGAATGAACTCTTGCTAGCCAAAGATTATTTTTTGAAGATCAATGATCTATATATTATTTTATAATTTTAATACACAGTTTTGATACTTCTTAGATTCTTAGTAAAATGGCTTTCCACTTTTTAGAAAGTAAAAATTTGTTTGAGAATATTTCAATCAGAAGAGAATAGCCTTATATTGCCTGGTTTAGTCAAAGCTGCTTAAAATTCCAACCTTTTATCATCAATACCAATTGTTTATCAACACAAAGAGTGGAAAAGACCAAGAATTCTGTTTATTATTATGGCAAACATTTTCATGATATTTGACAGAATTCAGAACTAATTTTTTTAAATAGGTTCATATCTGTAAAACTAAACCAACCAGGATAAAGTCTTTATTTAACAAAACAAAAAAGAAATTAAGCAACCAAAAGATATTTCCCATAACGGCAAAATATAAAACTAGAGGCAAAGTAACAGAATGCTAGAAATCGCTCAGCAATGGACTGAAGAAACCCTGATTCTGGCATTGCTAATGGTCCTCTTTGTCCTCCCACTGTTGCATATGTAAAACAGATATGATAATAACTAAAGAATGGCCTTGCAGGACTATGCAGGAGTCTAAAAGGAATTATTGAAAAAGTGGTCAAATACTTTATAAATACTATAAAAAATATTTATTTTATTTTTTGCCTTCCTTAAGTGAAAGTGTCCATTTATATCAGACTGTTTCTTAAATTGTTTCAAATTCTCAGAGAGATGTCAGCTTTCTTCCAAAATGATACTCCCAGTGTATCGTAATGTTTCTGATTAAGACAGATAATACTAGAACTGTGCTACTTGAGGAAAAAAGAGAGACTTGTAGCACAATTGGTAAAGTTCCTAGACTTGGTTCAATCAAGTTATGGATCATCCAACTGACAGATTTTGTTACTACAGCATTTTCAGGCATTATTTCGAAAACATAGTCTCAGTGTGAGATTTCTTATATAAATAGGAAGAATTTAACTTCTGTAAACATTTGCAGTGTCAGCAATTTCTTTGAATAGATTTCCACTCCCTTAAGAGCTGCTCCAGTGAAGAATTGTTTCTTACACATCCATGTCCAGGATCAAAAAAAAACTCAGTGTTTTTCTATGAAAAGACAGAAATACCCAAGTAACGTGAAAGCTTTCTGTAACCAGGGATTGCCCACCTATTCCAAGCATGTTATCACTCCCTATAGATTCCTGATGAACGCAAAAGGTTCTTCAGTTACTCATAGCTCATCAGATGTGTTGTTCACCTTTGGTAATTGACATTCTTCATTGGTAAGACAACTCTGAAGGATGTCCTTGTAGTGGTTCTTCAGATCATCATACAAAGAAACAGTTTCTTGTGAGTGAGCCGATGGTAACACCTTTTCATTCAATAACATCTGTACTCGGAATTCTTCTTTAGGAGTCTTAGCATTTTTACAATGGTAAAGCACAAATATTAGGTTTGAAGCATAGGGTACAATGTGACCACTTCGGAACTTCCGATGCATCTGTTCCTTGTAATTGTAAGCTGTTAGGGGCTCCTTGTCTTTGAAGTACCCCATGAGAGAAAGCAGTGGAAGAAGGGTCTCTGCGTGACCAAACTCAAGGATGACTGGAGAGGAAACTGGCTGAGACCTTAAATGAGAAATCGAGAAAAAATGTGTATATACATTCATGTCATAAAACATAATAGCTATACTTAGAAGCAATATACAACTTTCTCATCAACAGGTGTTTTAAGCCTCTTTCTTAACTGGTATACATTAATTAGGTCATCTAACGCACCTAAAACCTTATATTTATTTCCAAGAACCATCTCCTTAGGTCTGAAGTTACAAAGCAGTACCATTTCGACCATAGCTATATTTAATTTGACCTGCATAAATAATTTTCAATTTTGCATTGTTAGTATTTAAAAATTGGGAGATTTCAGATTCTTGAAAATCCAGACTTTCAGCTACTCTTGAAAACTGAAAGATCTGGCAACATATATTCCCATAAGAAAATAATCAGCATAACAAGCATCAAAATGGAAATGGGAGAACCTAATTGCCAATGATACATCAAATAAGGGGTTAATGTCCAAAATATATACAGTACTCATACAACTCAACAAAAGGAAGACAGAATCCAATTAAAAAGTGGTCAGAGGACCTAAATAGACACCTCTCCAAACAGAACATACAAAAATGGTCAAGAGAAATAGAAAAAAATGGTCAACATCTCTAATCATCAGAGAGATGCAAATTAAAACTATGAGGTATCGCCTCACACCTGTCAGAATGGCCGCCATCAACAAATCATCAAACAACAAGTATTGGCGAGGGTGTGGAGAAAAGGGGACTCTAGTACACTGCTGGTGGGAATGCAGACTGGTGCAGCCACTATGGAAAACAATATAGTGTTTCCTCAAAAAATTAAAAATTGAACTGCCATTTGACCCAGTGATCCCACTTCTAGGAATATACCCTAAGAAGCCTGAAACACCAATCAGAAAGAATATATGTACCCCTATGTTCATAGCAGCACTAGTTACAATAGCTAAGATGTGGAAACAGCCCAAGTGTCCATCAGTAGATGAATGGATAAAAAAGCAGTGGTACGTGTACACAATGGAGTACTATGTAGCTGTAAGAAAGAAAGATCTCTTATCCTTTAAGACGACATGGAGGAACCTGGAGAGTATTATGCTCAGGGAAATAAGCCAATCAGAGAAAGATAAATATCACATGATCTCACTTATTTGTGGAATATAATGAAGAAAATAAGCTGATGAACAAAATAGACCCAGAGACATGGAAGTAGGGATTAGACTGACAAACCTGGGGTGGGGTGGGGTGGGGGAGTAAAGGATAAACCAAAAACTTATATGCATAAATGTATAACCAACAGACACAGACAACAATACTGTGAGGAGGGGCTGGAGCAGGGAGGAGGGTGTCAATGGGAGGAAAAAGCAGAAACATCTGTAATAAAAATAAGTTAAAAAAAGAAACAGCTACTGCTACAGCAGGAACAACAACAAAATCAGTATAACAGGAATGTGGGATACCCTCCAGAGAGGACATAAACCTGTTACACAGGACACATGTCACGCCACATTGTCTAACATAGGATGTTTCATTACTTGCCAGATCCCTTTATACATCTGAGTATGTGCAAGTCAAAGCTAATACCATTGCCATAGTGTAAATATAATGCAACTTAACAGTGATACAAGTTAAAGAAAAACAAGTAGTAAAAATACTAGTTTACAGTTTAAGTCCTCTAGCCATGAGGCAGTAACTTCAAAGCCATGACTCACCCAGAAAATCAGTGTTTTGTACAATTTAAAAGTTCTTCTTGATTTTTGCATTTCAAAAAAAAAAATTCAGAACTCACTGAATGTCTAGGTTGAATTTTAAGGGTAAGAAGCAGAATTCAGCATAAAGAGCTAAAAAAAATGTTAAGCATTTTTTTGAATTAACCCACGAGTATATATATTAAATAACAGCTCAGACTATAAATCACTTGTCTCAAACATAACTGTTTTTCTTCACTATTCTATTTTATAAGCTGCAATTCAACTTAATAACCTTTTAGTGGTTCAAGTGTTAAAATCAGAATATATATGATACAGCAATCTTCTTCAAGGTTTCTTAAGAAAGTAGAAGCAAAACATCTAAGTCATAGTTATGACAAAGGAGCAATGGAGCAAAGGCAATCTTTCCAACAAATGGTGCCAGAACACCAGACATCCACATGCAAAACAAAACAAAAAAAAAGAATTTAGACACAGACCTCAGACTCTTCACAAAAAATTAACTAAAAAATGATTATAGACCTAAGTGTAAAACTCAATACAATAAAATTCCTAGAAGATAAGAAAGGAGAAAACCTAGATAACCTTGGGCCTGGCAATGACTTTCAGAAATAACACCAAAGGTACAATCCATGAAAGAAGAAACTGATAAGCTAATCTTCATTAAAATTAAAAACTCCCCTCTGCTAAAGTCAATGTCAAGAGAATGAGAAGATAGGTCACAAACTGTGAGAAAATATTTGCAGAAGACACATGACAAAGGATTGTTATCTAAAATATACAAAGAACTCTTAAGACTCAAAAATAAGAAACACCCCAATTAAAAAATGGGCAGAAGACCTGGAGAGCTCATCAAAGATCTACAGATGGCAAGAAGTAAATGAAAAGGTGCTCCACATCATGTCATTAGGGAATTGAAATTAAAACAAGATACCACTACATATCAACATCCAGAAAAATGACAATACCAAGTGCTGACGACAGGATATCAGTCACTATTGGTGTGAATACAAAGTGATACAGTCAGTTTGGTGGTTCTTACAAAACTAAATATACTCTTACCACATGATCCAGCAATTGCACTCCTTGGTACTTATGTAAATGAATTAAAAACTTAGGTCTTCATAAAAACCTAAACATGAGTATTTATAGATGATTTTTTCATAATTGTCAAATCTTAGAAGCAACCAAGATATCCTTTAGTAGGTGAATAAATAAATGGTAGTACATCCAGACAATGAAATATTACTCAGCGCTAAAAAGAAATGAGCTCCAGCAGAGGGCCACCATATCTGGGACTCCAGCAACCTGGCTCACACTGTTTGCCCCATCCTGGTGATTCCCTGAGGCCCCGCCCAACCCAACTTTCTGGCCCACCCAAGCTGTTTCCAATGGTTTTACCATAAGATTGGCCTGTCTTGGATCCTGCTTCAGATTTTCCTAAAATCTCTCAACAAGCAGCATCTGGTCTCAGTGAGCCCCATACCTCTCATTAAGTGGTCTCAGGCCTGGCCACTAGAAGCAACCAGCCTTGGTTCACAGCTTGGGTTTTCCTGTTGGCACCTCCAAGCCCAGCACAAGAAGCAGCCATCTGCAGATCACTTTGTAGCTTACACTGGGTGGCCCCGGGTAGAACACAGGCAAAGGCTGACCTTGCTCTAGAGCCAGCACATCCAGTGGACAGCTTCAGATCACCTCGAAAACCACCACCCAACCACCTCCACAAATGACACACTCAATATGTGGACTCAGTGGGTACCAGAGCCATGATGAACTAAGTCTTGCTCTGTGTGGTGGGCCCCTGCACAGCTGATCACCCAAGGGAGTCAGAGGCCAATGGTCAGTGGGCACAGCCAGTTCTTGCAGCTATCAGCCTGAGTAAATCCCTCCCATTAACATGCCAACAGCAATCAAGACTCAATTGCAACAGACGGTGGGACAGTCCACACCAGGGGTGCATCCCGAGGGCCCAGCTGGGGTGATCAGGGAGGCTGTGCCACAGGACCCTTACAGGACACCTACTATAATAGGCCACCCTACAAAGCTTAGGAGACATAGCAACTCTACCTAATACATAGAAACAAACACAGGGAGGCAGCCAAAATGAGGAGACAAAGGAACATGTCCCAAATGAAAGAACGGAACAAAACTTCAGAAAAAGAACTAAACAAAACAGAGATAAGCAATCTAACAGATGCAGAGTTCGAAACACTGGTTATAAGGATGCTCAAGGAACTTAATGAGACTTTCAAGGATCTTAGTGAGATCTTCAAGAAACTTAAGGAGAACTCCGAGGAACTTAGTGAGAACATCAACAACATAAAAAAGGACCAGTCAGAAATGAAAGATGCGCTAACTGAAATAAAGAATAATTTACAGGGAATCAATAGTAGAGTAGGTGAAACCAAGAAGCAAACCATCAATTTGGAATATAAGGAAGCAAAAAACACCCAATCAGAACAGCAAAAAGAAAAAGGAATTTAAAAGATGAGAACAGTGTAAGGAGTCTCTGGGTCAACTTCAAGCATACCAACATTCGTATCATTGGGGTTCCAGAAGAAGAAGAGAGAAAGAAACTGAAAACCTATTTGAAAAAATAATGACAAAAAACTTCCCTAACTTGGTGAAGGAAACAGACATACAAGTCCAGGAAGCACAGAAAGTCCCAAACAAGTTGAACCCAAAGAGGTCCACACCAAGACACATCATCATTAAAATGCTAAAGATTAAACACAAAGAAAGAATCTTAAAAGCAGCAAGAGAAAAGCAATCAGTTACCTACAAAGGAGCTCCCATTAGACGGTCAGCCGATTTCTCAAAAGAAACTTCACAGGTCAGAGAGGAGTAGTAAGAGATATTCAAGGTGATGAAAAGCAACAACCCACAACCAAGATCACTCTATCCTGCAAAGCTATCATTTAGAATCAATGGACATATAAAGAGTGTCCCAGACAAGAAAAAGCTAAAGGAGTTCACCACCAAACCAGTATATGAAATGTTGGAGGGTCTTCTTGAAGGAGAAGAAAAATATGAACAATAAAATGGCAATAAATACATATCTATTAACAAATGAACCTACAAACAAAATGAGCAAGCAGAATAGAAACAGACTCAAAGATACAGAGAATTTTTGTTGCTTACCAAATAGAAGGTGGCTAGAGGGATGGGAGACGAAGATGAAGGAATTAAGAGTATAAATTGGTTGTTAGACTGATAGACCTCAAAGGGAAGAGGGGAGGAAGGGTGGAAATAGATAAACCAAAGAACTTCTATGCATATATGCATAACCAATGGACACAAACAATGGTAGATACATGTCATTATTCATTTGTCC